AAAAAAAAAAAAATCAATCAAATCTCAAATTTAACTCTACCCCACTATCCTCAATATTATCAATATAATTAAATAATATTAACCAATCAATAGTACACATCACATGAGCTTTAATTCACTATTAGTCCACTCATATAATTTTAACTAACCATCACTTTCAATCATTTTCTCATACTTTTACATCAAATCAACTTTAATTATTTTAATTTAAATATTATTTTAATATTCCACTAACAACTAACCATACTACTTTTTCTAAAATTTAACTATACTTAAAAAAAACTAATTTTTTTTTTTTCTAGTTGATTTCATATCCGATCACCCCCTTAGTGATTGGTTGACAAGTATTTTGTTTTTTTCTTAAAAAAAAAATAAAAACCATTGTTTATAGTTTTGCTATGGAGACATCGGATGACTCGACTTATGGAGTCCTCCACAGTTATTCACAAATAGTGTATTGACACGTGTCCTACAATAAATACACTTTGAACACGATTTAATAGAATTTTTGCCATTGTTTGTATATGAAAATTTATTCCATTCACACTCAGTTTATACTCAATCTAATTCAACTTTAACCTAACTACATTATGTTCAATATTATTAATATAATTAAATAATACTATCTAATTATTCTTACACATCACATCGATTGTAATTTATTATTCACCAATTCACATAATTTTAGCTAACAATTACTTCACAACATACGTCTTCCACTTTTACTTTTATATCAAATCAACTGTAATTATTTTATTTTAAATATTATTTTAATATAAAGTCAAAATTTCACTTTATAGATTCTTTTTGTTTTGTTTAGATTTTTTGGTTTGATTTGGTTAGTTTTGAAAAAAAGTGGTATGATTAGTTGTTAGTGATTATATTAAAATAATATTTGAATTAAAATAATAAAAGTTGATTTGATGTAAAAATATGAGATAAATGATCTGAAATGATGACTAGTTAAAATAATACGAGTGGATAAATAGTGAATTAAGATTGATGTGGTGTGTATGAATTATTGATTGATATTATTTAATTATATTGATAATATTGATGATAGTGAAATTGAATTAAAATTAAGTTAAAAAAATAATTGAATTAAATATTCTGAATTTTTAAAAATTTATATAAACAAACTCGCTGAGTCTGAGAAATGGGATTTGTTTTGTCCAACATGGTGGCCTAACAATCCCACCCAACAACTTGCCTGAAAAACTGAAAATAGGAACTTTTAGTTGGGTTTTGTTTTACAATTACGCTAAATATGAGGTGCTTCTACAATAATATTTCAAAATCTTCACCACGAGGCACGAACCGCGTCCATCAGTGAATCTCACAATTGCCCCCCGCAGTCTCGAGCGTGTAAAACACGCTCCATCATCACAGTCAAAATATACATCTCACCTTCATCATCACAACACAACGGACACCACTAACTCCAAAACCGTGCACTCACGTGGACCCACTCTCTCTCTGTCATCATCTTCATCTACACATCACACAGACACACACACACACACACACACACAGCTAAACTTATATGTATGTATATATTGTTGGAATTATGGAGCTTAATGTGATTGATCGTGCATGGTTTATGTTTGTAAGAATATTGGTTTGGCATCATGTCCGACAAACCTAAGTGTTTTCTAGAAGATTTCTTGTTAAGCAGGCAAAATAAATTAAAGGGAAGTTTTTCTATTTATTTACTTGTGATTTAATTAAGTTCCTAATATTTATTATTAATAATATATGGTATATATTTATTGTAGTATGTATTATGGAATCCTAATCCTTTAGGAGAAGAATTACATAATATATATTATATATTTACTATATATGCCACATGCCATAATTAGTTCTCTCTTTCTTGTAGGACAAGGAATAGGTGGCAAGGACTATGAAAGGATGAGCTTTCCATACAAGAAGAGTTCTGGACGTTCATGAGAAGATCTAAGGAGGATTTGGAAAGATTCACCACAAGATCTTTGAAGATTTGGAAGATCGGCTATTTTTGGAAAGTCATGTTCTTACCAGATTCTTGGAACGCGTTTTTCCATTGGAAGCTCAATTCTGAAGATCTCCAAATCACATGCACGATTTCTACATCAAGGAAACTTACCATACATGGAGGATTTTGTCCAAATCAGAAAGGAATCAATTGAGAAGGAAATTGACTCCTAAAAGGTAAAGGAAGAACTGTGAAGACTCCTTACCTTAAGGAGGTTGTATATAAGCCTACTCAAGCAATCAATTGAAGATAAATGAGCTGCTGCAAATCAAGTTCATCATTCATCAGCTTCAATTGAGTGTTTGAGAGTTTCTATTATTTTTATTTTATTCGGTTCAGTTTTTCAGCGTTCTTATATTGCTGAAGAACTGAACTCGTTTTGTTTCTTTTCTTTTACAAACACTTTATTTTAGTGCTTAGGGATTAAGTACTGGGTTTTGCTCGAGGGATTCGAGTGTGTAAAGTCCACGGGACGTGGCCGGAGAAGTAGTTGATAGGATCGTGTGTAGTTGTGGCTAGACTAGAAGGGAGTTCGAGTCGTGTAAGTTCAAACTATACAAGTGTGAACGGTTTATCAATGAAAGAGCTCTGAGGGGAAGTGGGACGCTTCCCTGAAGAGTTTTAAAATCTTCGGTTTATTGCTTCCGCTATTTACGTTGTTTATCCACGTTCGTACTATATTTCGCGCACTCGCAAGTAATTATACGTTTCAATGTTCATGCAGAGTGTTTTAGCATTTTATCTGTCATTACTCCTTTTATCTGAAGTCGCGCTACACTTACTAAGTCGCACTTCTTTTCTGTTGTTACTTTCTTCTTGTCACGTGTTTTAGTTATTGGCACATGTGTTATCTTTCTAGTAGCTTCTCTGTTCCCCATGTGATATAAGTGTGTTAGCTGAGGGTTTTCTACTGTAATTTTGTATTGAACATTTACAGAGCTCCAAGCTCAACTTTAATGGTGATCTAGGTTTTGTATATTTTGTTGGTGATTTCAACGATTATTTGACATATTAACTCAAGTTTACATGGTATCTAGAGCGGGTCTCTAATCTCCGATGGCGCAGAACATTGATGAGCAAGGTCGACTGATCGTTGGGCGGTACACCTACACTCGAGATATAGATCCACACTCTCTTCATGGATCCGATCATCCTGGTTTGGTTCTGGTAACTAATTTGCTCACTGGTGAAAATTATCTACATTGGAGTCATGCGATGAAGCTTGCCCTAGGAGCTAAGTCGAAGCTTGGCTTCATCGATGGAACGGTGGAAATTCCAGAACAGGGTACAGAGGAGTTCGAACAATATAAGAAGGTACAATCTATGGTCATTTCCTGGATGCTTAATTTTATTTCTAAGGATATTGTTGAAGCTTTCATCTATACAAAAAATGCTAAGCAATTATGGGATGAGTTGGCCGAGAGGTATGGTGAAAGCAATGGTCCCCTTAAATATCAGTTGCAGAAGGAGATTGCTACCTTTTCACAAGGATCCTTAACTGTCACTGCATATTACACAAAGTTAAAGTGCTTATGGCATGAGTACTCATGCATTGTGTCACTTCCTGAATGTGAATGTGGTTCAAAGAAGGCATACAGTGATAATGAAATGGAGACTAAGCTCATGCAGTTTCTGATGGGTCTAAATGAGGTGTTTGAACCAGTAAAGAATCAGATCTTACTAATGGAACCACTGCCTACTATCAATAGAGCTTACTCTATGATATTAAAGGTAGAAAAGCAGAAATGTTTGGGCACTGTTGGTTTGAATCATTTGGAAAGCTCAGCAATGTTTGTGAAGGGAAATGTTGGCAGAGGTAGTGGAAGAGGACAAGTTTTTAATAAAGGTGGTAGAGGTTTTGGAACACAATCTTATAATAATGCAGGTAGAGGAAGGGGCACTCAAAGACTAAGTAAAGAACAAAGAGCAAAGCTCTACTGCGCACATTGTGGGTTTAATGGTCATGAAGCCCAAGGTTGCTTTAAATTACACGGTTATCCTAACTGGTATAAAGAATTAAAGGAGCAAAGGCAATCACAAAATGTTAATATGGCAGAAAGTGAAGGCTCCTCAAAGGCTGACTCAGAAACCAAGTCACAACACAGTGATTCACTAGGTGACATAAGCTCCTTGATTCAAAAGAAAGTTGCCAAATACATGTCTAGCCAACAGACCACAGAAACTCATTCTTTCTCACACTTTGTTGACTATACAGAAGATAAGGAAGTCTATGCCTTTTCTCTAATCAGCAAACTCAGTAGGGGCTCATGGATAATTGATACAGGAGCAAGTAAGCATATATGTTCTGATATTAACCTGGTTTGCAAGAAATCCGTGACTATAGTGCCTATTGTTGTGAACCTTCCAGATGGTTCATAGGTGAAAGTAACTCAGATTGGTGAGGTGAGGTTTAATGATGAAATCACACTCAAAGATGTTTTGGTGATTCCTGAGTTCAAATATAACCTGCTGTCTGTTGGACAATTTGTGGAAAAGGATAAACTACAGTTCATTTTTACAAAAGGTGAGTGCAGATTGTTGAAGGGAGATGGAGATTCAGTCATGGCTGTGGGAAAAGCAATTGGGGGGCTTATATAATAGAGGGGCATAATACCTATGTTAATACTGTTAATGGGAGTTTGATCAATCAGAAAGAATTGGCTCTATGGCATAAAAGAATGGGACACATCTCAATAAATTGCTTGAGGCACTTGAGTTTCATAAACAATGACAGCTGCAAATTAGACCTGGACATTTGTGATGTATGCCATAGGTTAAAACAGTGCAGGCTTCCCTTTCCTCTTAGTCACATACAAAGTAAAGAAAAACTGGAACTTATCCATATGGATGTATGGGGGCCACATCATGAAGAGTCCATGACAAACACCTCCTACATGCTCACCATAGTTGATGATTATACCAGAGCCACCTGGATTTACCTGATGAGATACAAGGCAGAAACAGTCATTAATGTTAGGGATTTTCTGAGAATGGTGGAAGTTCAGTTTGGAGTTAAAGTTAAGCAGATAAGAACAGATAATGGGGGAGAGTTTGTTAATAAAGAAATGGAAATGTTGTTGAATGATAATGGAATAATACACCAAAGGACTTGTTCTTATACTCCACAACAAAATGGTGTTGTGGAGAGAAAACACAGGTCCATTCTTGAGGTGGCAAGATCATTGGCTTTCCAGTGAAAACTGCAAAGAAATCTTTGGCCTTATAGTTTGTTAGCAGCAGTACAAATCATCAACACATTACCAAGTGAGAAGCTGAAGTGGAAATCACTTATGAGCTCTTGCATGGTAGTGAACCAGCATATGGAATGTTTAAGGTGTTTGGTTGCTTGTGTTATGCAAGTAGGCTTGGTCCCAGCAGGAAAAAATTTGATGAGAGGGCCATGCCTTGTGTGTTTCTGGGATACATCTCAGGGACAAAGGGGTACAGATTGTATAGTTTGGAATATAAGGAAGTGTTTGTTTCCAGAGATGTTATATTCTATGAAGAAAGGTTTCCTTTCATAGATAAAGAATCTTTGACCCCAGAACAAGAACCACTGGAGCCAGTTGTTGATGATTTCACTACATGTGAGCCTGAACCACATGTGTTTAACAATGAAAGGCATGACCCACCTGCTGAAGAAAATGTTGCAGTAAGAAGAAGTTGTAGGGTCAGGCATCCACCTGCTTGGTTATCTGACTATGAAATGAGTTTACAAAGTGATGAAGAAACAAATCTATTTTTTTATGAAATAGATAAGACAGCCTCAGAGCCAACTTATTATGAGCAGGCCATTGGTGACAATAGATGGATTGATGCAATGCATAAGGAACTGCAGGCTTTGGAATCTAACAACACTTGGATTCTTAGCAAGTTACCAACAGGGAAGAAAGCCATTAGATCTAAATGGGTATATAAAATTAAAAGGAATCCAGATGGCACAATTGATAAGTTCAAGGCAAGATTGGTGGCAAAGGGTTTCTTGCAAAGGGAAGGGATAGATTTTGTGGACAGTTTCTCACCTGTTGCAAAGCTTGTTTCAGTCAGGCTGCTCATAGCATTGGCCACACAATAGAAATGGCAGCTGCAACATATTGATATCAATAATGCCTTTTTGCATGGATTCCTTGATGAGGAAGTATATATGTTACCTCCTAAGGGATATGACAAGGCTAAGAAGGGGGAGGTTTGCTTACTTAAGAGAAGCTTGTATGGGCTCAAACAAGCATCTAGACAGTGGAACATTGAGTTTTCTGATAAGCTCATTCCATATGGTTTTAAACAGTCACCACATGATCATTGCCTTTTCTTCAAACATTCAAGTCATGGATTGCTTGCTTTTCTAATTTATGTGGATGATGTGCTCATTACACGGAAATCTTTGGAGGATATTGAGAATCTTGAGTCTTATCTTCATGATCTGTTTACTATAAAGGACTTGGGACAGGCAAAGTACTTTCTTGGACTTGAAATTCTTAGAACTAGTGCAGGCACTTACCTTTGTCAAAGAAAGTATATCATGGACATTGTGCATGATCTTGGGCTGGAGAATTCTAAGCCTACCACCACACCTTTGCCACAAGGGTTGAATTTATCTTCATTGCAGTCACCACCACTTGATAATCCAGAGAAGTTCAGAAGATTAGTTGGGAGACTTCTTTATTTGAACCTATCCAGAGCTGATGTTTCTTATGCCATCCAACAACTTAGCCAGTTTGTCCATTCTCCTTTCCAAGGACATTGGACTGCAGGTGATGGGTCTCTTCTCAGATCTGGAATGGTCCAATGGGAAAACGTCTGGATCTGGGATGAACCGGTGCGAATGAGCTTAGATCTAATGTGATGGCGTTCGAAC